GAGCGTGATAAAAAAAATCGCATACACATTCAAACTCAGAATAAAAATCGCCAGTTCACAAAATTTTGTTTGCGAACAAAAGAGTTCTAAGAGCTTTAGTTTTTCTTATTTTCTTCTCACACGCTCACACTCTGCATTACACTCATCTCAAATTTTACGACGAGCAACCGCAATTTATATAAAAATGCTTCCGCTACGGAATCAGTGGTTGGCGATTCATCTTTGTAATAAGAACGTACTCAGTAAAAGCACAGCTGGAATAGTAATCACAGTAACAATAAATAGAAGCATAACAAATTTTAAGCAAAGCGAGAATAGTGGAATAACAAAACACACTGCAGTCACCACCAGCAACACCACCAACGCCTTCCATCCGCCGGCAGGAAATCTCAGACGTTACTTCCAAACTCACTTTGTCTATCCACTGACCCCATTTGCTCGACGTAAACGCACAATAACAACAAAAATGCCAAACACAAGTGAAGATACGAGTATACGTAACTATTATAATGTAGCTTTAGAATTGGTAATGAAATGTGGTCCACTAGTACGTGAAGGTTATAGCAATGCTAATGCGGATTTTAAAGAAAAAGCAGCATTTTTTGATTTAGTCACTAAATATGACAAAGATATTGAAGATATACTCGTTGAGGGTTTAAGCAAAGCTTTTCCAGAATCGAAATTTATTGGTGAGGAAGCTGTAGCCGAAAGTGGTAAAATGCCAGAGTTGACTGATGCGCCCACATGGATTATTGATCCAATAGATGGTACAACAAATTTTATACATCGCATACCATATTGGTGTATATCGGTCGGTTTGGCTGTAAATAAGGAATTGGTAGTGGGTATTGTGTATAATCCGATTGCAAATGAAATGTACTCAGCGTGGAAGGGACATGGCGCTTATATGAATGGACAACGTATTCGTGTTAAGAATTGTACCAAAGTTAGTATTTTATATTTGAGCACATTGCAACTGTATATATGTATGTACATACTTATGTATGAGAGAGACAGTCCCATATGTTCGAAAATCTAGCTGATCAGTTTTAGGAATAGTAATCAAAAATATGTATATCGGTTGTTATCATTTAGAGTGTATTGATAGCGCATTTCACAAAACGAAAACAATCAGCAAATATCGGTAAGAGAAAAAACACCAATCATATATTTTACACCAACAATCGAATAGGTAGAATAATAGAACAGTTAAACTATGTTTTTGTATACATTACCAGCAAAAAATTTTCACCCTTCAACACTTCCAAAACAATAACAAGTCGTAAAGAAAATGAGGTAGGGTAAAATAAGCTAAGTTTTTCTTAAGTCATTTCGTTCATTGACCAGAACAACAACAACTCCCTGTAGCTATTTCGCTCTTGTTATAGTAGGACCTACGTTCTCGAATGACCCAGATATGTAGCCAAGGACTATCACAAGACACACAACAGTAGGGAACGACCCAGATCAATATCTGGCCAAGAACAAAAAGTCTTGGGGGAATTTATATGCTGTTACAACAAAAACAACAAGAGCAAAATTATCCAAAACTTTTGGGGATTTTTTAGGTTATTCTGACAATGACTACAACTACAACCACAGCACTTGGTCGACTCTGCCTTAACTCATCAGTTCAAAATTGCCAGTCAAAGGCCACCACCTCAGTCCTCTCCCAAACTACAGGATATGTTGGGTCACCAATATAACCATATATAAGAAAACTTCACATTAAAGCCTTTATTCAAGGGCTAGGATTAACTATCAGGACACACACATTTATCTCCCGAAATTTGTAGGATTTATAGGCTGTTAACAGGGAAGAAGTGACATTTTTTACAATCCCATACAAAAAAGTGCGAAAAAAAGACTAATGTCAAACTAAATGTCTGCATTAAGTAATTTTTTTTTTTCATTGCTCGCGCAGTATTTTATCAAGTCGTTAAATTTATAAATGGTTTTACAACTTTTGCTATGAATGCTGGGCAAATTTATCTAGAGAGATTACTACAATGCGAGATAAGATCATATTTCGCTGCGAGGGCGATTAATACTGCAAATATTTACATTTTAAACAGTTTATTTCATCAAGATGGATAATCTGCGAGTACTTGTTGTATACTACCCTGCCCACCTTTAGTTCATAAACTCCACAATTTTAGTTCATACACACTCAAAGAAGAAATATTTCAAAGGGTATGTATTTAAGGTGGGCGGGGGTACATAAAAACGCATCGCTCGTTTGCTAAGGAACGTAACATACAAAAAAAAAAAATTGAGAAAAACTGTTTTAAAAATTTTAGTGAGTTATTTCTGCTTCAACAAAAGCCAATGCTAACTTAAATGTATAGTAAAAAAAATGTAATCTACTTTCATTTAGATATGTACATACATAGATACATATTAACTGAGGTGTGCACTGCGACCAGATCTACTAAGCCTCCTTGCTCAGATATCTGGACAGATACCATTATACCATTATAAATTTTACTGGGGAGCGAGAAAAGTTTTTTTTTTATCATTTTTAGGTCTCATAAATTCAAAATACATTTACTTCAAATTTACCACAGAACAAAGTGTAAACATTTTTCATTATTTCTACGTATTCGTAAAATAAAATAATTAACGGCATAATGTTTAAGGTGTAAAAGTTCTAATAGATTCAAAATCATTTCAGATGAACCATGCCGTTTTAGCTTATGAAATTTCGCTCGTCCACGCACCTTTAGTACGTGATAAAAACGTTAAACGTCTTTCGAAACTTGCTGCTAATAGTTTGGGGTATGCACAAAGTCTAATTAATACGCTAACAAAGTCCCTAATTAATTTTTTTCTGTTTACAGTTCTCGTTGCATTGGCAGCGCAGCACTGACGCTCTGCTACGTCGCACGCGGTAGCTTTGATTGTTATCATGTGGAAGATCTACAACCTTGGGATATAGCAGGTGGTGCAGTTATATTACGTGAAGCCGGCGGTAATCTCTATCACACTAAAGGTGGTGAATTTCACATAATGAAGCCTAACTTGATAGCGGCAGCTACACCAGAGTTGGCAAAGGTTATGGTCGGTTTGATTGAGGAGGCCGATGCTTTGACACATTTCACGTTTAAATAATTATTTATAAATTTTAATTTATACCGATTTCGTTTCTACAAAAAATTTTGCCTTCTCATGGACGTCTTTTTAGTGTTTGTGCCTAGAGGTCAAGGAGAAGGTTGCATTTTTCGGTAGAAACGAAATCAGCTATAGCTTCAAAGTATTTTAATTTTATTAAAATAAAATATTTTAAAACTTACGTTTGGCGGCATTCCATGAGTTTGGTAGCCCATTGGTGGCATGTTGGGACCTTGTGGCGGCATTTGCATACCCATATGTGGACCTACAGGAATATGTTTACATTATATTTGGAAAATAATTATTAATAAATCAAATTACGAACCCATGCTTTGATGATGCGGTGGCATGTGATGTCCTTGTGGGGGTGGACCCGGTTGTCCAGGCGGTCCTTGTACTGGTGGCCCATTCATATGCTGCGGCGGTGCCCCTTGTACACCCGGTTGCTGCTGCGGTCCCGGTGGTCCGTGAGGCGGTGGTACGCCGTGTGGTGGTGGTGCATGAGACATTGGTGGTCCATTTCCTGGAGCACCTCCACTACCCGGTGGTGGAGGGCCATGCTGACCGGGTGGCTGTTGGCCATGAGGTGGTGGGCCATGCTGGCCTACACCATGCTGTCCTGGCGGCATTGCACCATGTTGTTGGTGTTGCGGAGGTCCATGTGGAGAGCCATGTGGTGGAGCATGTTGCATTGGATGAGTATATGGTCCGCCAGGATGTCCGGGTGGTGGTGGTGCACCATGATGACCACCCGGCGGTAATGGACCATGTTGACTATGTGGCGGTGGTGCTTGCATATGCGATTGCTGCGGTGGGCCATGGGGCGGTCCAGGCGGTCCTGCCCCGGAAGGGCCCTGTGGACCTTGTGGCCCTTGAGTCATTTGTTGATGCGGATATGGGCTGTGTGGCGATGGCGAGGGACTTTGAGCAGGCGGCGCCTGAGGCGGCGGCATAGGGCTGTTCGCCGGCGAGGGTGAAGTCATATTCACCCTTTTAAGGTAGTTGATTATGAATAGACACAGAAAAGTCCGATTAACACCTAGTTCTTTTTAATTGGTGTGAGAGATACGACCAATACAAAATCAATTGAGGTTGCGTACGGATTTTTCTACCGTTTTACGGAAAAAAAATAAACTTTCCACAAGTCTATACACTCATTTGTGAAGCATCATTCACGGTGTGCGCACGCACATAATTTTCTTTACTTTTTATGGTTCAAATTGGTGAATTTTTCACTTTTTCAGAGCACACACACGAAAACTTTTTTGCAAAGTAGACGCGAAAAGAAAATTCAATGGCTGCCATTGAAGTATTGAAAAACGTCAGCGTCACGTTGGTAGGACTGCGAACCGGCTGTCAAATGTGTGTGCTATCGATCTTTAATCGGTTGGAGCTTGCGGCAGTGTTGCTACTACTACCCTGCAAAAAACGCCTGACCATGTCGGAAAGAAACTATCGATTGTAGGCTCGCATACATATGTAGCCCCAAAGCATGGCCGCAAAGAACGTGAATCTATAAAGCCCTGTATGCAGCTCTCAAGAAAACGGTCAAGAAAAAATTGCCATTATTTCGCGTGTGTGTCCAAGGAATTTTGACATTTTTGATACCTCACAGCCTGTTGCCTCACTCTTTCCTCAAGAAATAATGGGACGGGCATATATTTCTGTTGCAAGCCTGGGTTGCCTTGTGCTCTTTTTTCATAAAAAACTTTAGAAAACCGTAGTAGAAAGCGTAGTAAATTTCTTAAGAACTGCGTACTGCCTTAGGGAAATTTGACTTAAGAAAATTTCTTAGCCATTTCTTGTACGTCATTTTATATGGAGTTTTTGCTTTTCTTGAGAGCTGCATACAGGCCTTTAGAAGAGACAACACGTTATAATTGTAACGAGTGGAAACATCAGGAGCGTGCTTTCTCGTTTGCCCAACTACGTTTTATGATTGGATAAAAAGAGAAGGCACGCTTCTGATGTTCACACTCGCTACAATTATAACGTGTTGTCTCCTCTTATAGATTTACGTTCTTTGGTAGCGCTTTAGTTGTAACTTAGGATAGTTTCGACTTAGTTTTGAACTAAATATGACTATGAATATGCGCCAATGCATATATATTTCAAACATCACTTTGCTTATAAATATTTGCCATTGTACCTTTAAACATTTGCCAATCCTCCCTTTAAAGATAAGAAACCTAACTGGTTTGGCCACTGATGGAGCCAATGTTATGGTTGGCGGGCTGAAAACATTATTGATTGCAGAAACCAAAGAACGTAAATCTATAACAGGATACGTTATATTTGTAGCTAGTGTGAACATCAGGAGCGTTCCTTCTCATTTCATCCAATCTAGGAACGTATTTGGGCAAAAGAGAAGGCACGCTCCTGATGCTAACACTCGCTGCAATTATAACGTGTTCTCCCTACTTAAAGATTTACGTTCTTTGCAGAAACCGATTTCGTTTCTGGAGACGGAAACCACTTTCCCATTCTTCAGTAATAATACTTACTGAATGCACAATATTTAATTTTATTTCTTATAATCGTTATGGTCTCTGAAATTAAGTTAATTGCAGCTCACTGACCAAGTTTTTAATTAGGGGATTTGCTGAAACTTGTAAAGTCATAAACCGTTTAAAACTCGTAAGTTTACGAGGCTTTTATGGGAACGGCCCCTTTGTGAAAAGTTGTAGAGAGGTGCGTAAAGTGTCTGTTTGACAGATAAACCAGGATTTTGTGAAAAAATTTTTGTTTCGTAGTATTTTCCATAAAATCCCGCCATCTTGTTTCTATCACTCTTGGCTAAAATACAATTAAAAACGCCGAAAATGACCAGCAACCCTAATCAATACAGTTAGTGCATGAAATTCATTCAATTAGTTCCCTTATAATTTTTTAAATTTATTTTCATTATTTTATCATACATTTTACAGGTCTATTCTGCATGATAAAAAAATAGGAAGGTAGAACTGCTGAGAGGAATTTTTCAAATTCTGGACGTTTGCAGGCAATTTAGTTTTAAAATTTTACACACAAACTCACACACACTTTCTCATTTTCAATCTCAAACAACAACAACTTTAAACAATTCCTTTTTTTACTCTCAAATTTATATAATTTTCAAATGTTGGTAAACTTCAAAATAAAATCATGGCTGACGAATTGAGAGAACGGTTCTACCTTACTATGTTTTTATCATGCTATTCTGCACGTTACCGAATATTTTGTAACCGGAAAATTGTATTACCAAAAAATGTTACCAGTTCTTGTCACCGCGATTCTAGGTACGTTGGTAATACAGTTAAAATACCCAGCAATTCAGCTATGAAGAATTGTGCAAATCCTGGCATTGCATATTTCATGGGGCAATAATTTGTTACCAGTTTATGAGCTGGTAAAAAAATTTACCGGTTACAAGAGTACACAGAATGCGAAAAGGATTTAAAAATGTACAGGAACTTTATTTAGGGGTTACAAACTTTTTATTACCAGCGCAGAATAGACCTGTTAGTATAAAAATTTTGTGCCCTTGGCAACACTGAGGTTTACGAGGTCGTTTGTGCATCAAATTTGCCTCGGAATTTTACGAGGGGCTCTTAACTAGAGCTGCATACAAATCTTGACAGTTCTTTTACGAGGCTCGCAAATTTACGAGCTGTGCGAGGTTTGCGAGGCTTTTACGAGTTTAAGGAAAGACCCCTAATATCAGCTGTTCAAGTAACACCACCCATCAACCAATTAGAACAGATCTGACCGGTTGAGAAGCAGCCATTTGTAATAGCAATCGAGAAAAAATTATGTGGCGTTCGTAATTTTGAAGTTTGCTATTTCTGTTTTGCTTCTTTCTTTATGTGTATTTTGTTGGTGGTTTATTTCAGTGATTTTAAAGCTATTTTCGATATTTTTTTTGTGCAAATGTAATTAAAATGAAGTGCGCGGTGATTGGTTGCAAAAAAACGTACAAAAATAATAAATTGATTAGCACTAACATGTGCTACAAAAAAACTTGCATTTTTTTTAATGCTTCTTAATTCTTTGTTTACTTTTCAAAGAAAATAACATGGCGCTGAAATTACAAATGTCAGCCAGGAAATTGCTTTTTTCTTTTGCTTCATCTTGTCAGATCTTGTGTACAGAGCTGCCAGATGTGGGGATTTTGCCCCTATCTGGGGATTTATAAAACCCTTTTGGGGATAGATTTTTTCGTTTGGGGATGTGGGGATTTTATGGGGATTTTTGTTTGGTTAAAAACTTTGATATTGAAATTAAACCATATATTTTTCTGGCTGCCCATAATAAAGATTTCATTAGTACATACTTTTACGCGATATGTTTGTAAGGTTTTCCTAATGCCGTGAAAGCATTATTCGGCGCAGATGTCTGCTTTGATTGGCTGAACAAACAATTTTCGCAACAACCTTCACGAAAGAAATTCTAAAAAATAAATGGTATTCTTTAGCTATTTGAGACTTGTACTTTATTACACTAAAAAAGTTTGATTACTTTTTGATTTTAAACTTTTATTTATGCTGTTTCTGTTGTAGATTAAATTATATTTTAAAAGAAAATTAGTAAAAATAAATAAATATACATATGCTGTAAAAACATATAACTTTGAATTTTGGTGCTAAATCTCTGACCATAGTTGTACGTATAACCAAATGACCTCATGCATATATGTACATACGTACATATGCATATATAAATTTGTGAAAATGTGTAGAGAAAAGTATTCACAACTGTAATAAAATGAAGACTGTGTTAAAATGAAAACTGTGTTAAAATGAAAACTGAATTAAAATGAACTAACACAAATTTGAATACATCCTTTTTTTATTTCTTACTAAAGGGGATTTAAAAGAAAAATGGGGACTTTTTGGGGATAACTGCAGCCCGATATGGGGATGGGTTACAAAAATATTCTGGCAACACTGCTTGTGTAGTTGGATCATGAACACCACCGTGTATAGAAGCGCCTTGGTCTCCACATTACACATTAGGTTCATTCCTTATCTTTTTGGACTAAAATCTGAAAAATGTCAAAATGCCAGAGCGTAAGCAAAATGCGCTCACTAAAAGAGAATAACAGGAACAGTAAAGGAACGCAAAAAACCAAATTTTTAGTCCAAAGAATGGCAACAACAAAACTAACGTCAAATAAGAACAGAAATGTATGTACAAAACACATTCACACAAGCACAATAAACACTTGCTATATCAATTATTTTTTGCCTCCTTCCGATTTCAATTAATTTCTTTTACTTTTTAGATTATTCTCACTTTTAGCGTATTCTTTAATTTCCGTTAATTTAAATTCAGTTGAGTTTGACAATTTTCAGGATTTTGCCAGAAAAAATTCTTCTGACTAAATCTGACTACTTCGGACTGATGAGAGTCACTCTCACTGACTGTTACTCTCTCATTTTTGCTGTCATTTCTGAGTTAAGGAACGCTTTTTGGACTAAATCTGACTACTTCGGACTTTTTCTGACTATTTCTGGGAGATAAGGAACGCTCCTATTGTACAAATTCATCGACTAATCATCATTATTAAGGGTATTCATCAAACCTTATAAATGCGTTGTAAACCGTATAACCTTATAATTGTGTAAACCTTATAAATGAACTGTCAAAATTTGTATGGAAACACGTTTACACATTTCTGATAAATTTATCCAGCGATTTCACTGAATAAACTTGATAAACTGAAGACAATGCAACTCTGTCGCAACTCTAGCTATGTTTTCTTAGGCAATAATCGGGATCAGCATACAAATTTTGCACGCAAATTCAACAACAATATGATCCTGATAGAGATCTGGTTCAATTATTATCCCGTCTGTTTGTTTTGTTTCACTGATAATTCGCAAAGTTTGGTAGCCGTGATAAATGAATTCATACACAAACAGACATTCTGCCATTGTTTCTTATAACTTGCTTCAAATAAATAGCCTTTATTTTATTTGCACAATTATTTAAATAGATATCTCGTAAATATAATTTTTCCAATTTAGTGAGGTAGTTTCTATAATTTCTTTATCCCCGTGCTAGTAGTATAAAGTTAGTGACACTGCGTTTTATAACCAAAGAAACACGACTATTGTCGCATGTGTAAACGAAAAGTGAGTGTGGGTCGTTCATGTAACAGAGTGCGTAAACTTATAAGATTATCTGCTTGATAAAGTTATCGGTTTAGAAGAATACTACTATTAAAATTATCGTTGATAAATATATTGTGACGAATACTGCGGCAACACAAAGCGAACAACGAGAAATAGGCAGAATG